TTACTGCACGGCATTAAGACCAGAATTTCATTGTGAAAGTCTCCAGCCCTCACAATCATGAACTGACTGTTGTCAACATGAGCGTGTGTAGAGGCTGCTGGGAACAATGGGCTTGAGATGTGTGAGCGAGTCCGTCATCGCCGCGGACGCTCACTCTAACAGGTAACGTTGCAGTGTAAAGGAAACGTTGTCAATTCTTTCACCAGTTCCCAATTTAGCAGGAACATTCAATTGACGTAATTTCCACATAACACCAGACAGGCTTCTACCTCCATCCATCTGTCAAAACCCAGCGATTGTTTCCGTGGCAGGGGTATGAAGACATCATTTTGTCAATACAAAAGCGATGACATTTTAAGAGCTGAGATTTTGAGGACACGGTAAAATAAGCGTATTTCAATATTGAGTGAGTAAAAGGAAGATTGGAGATGCCTTGGCTGACTTTTTGGAAAAGCTGGTCTCTCTCCTGACAACGGTGGTAGCCACAGATGACCGCTCCTCTGCAGGGCTTTGGGAATGTAATACAAAGAAACTGTCCAGCTCATTAACATCACCTATTTAACCATCAATTTTGTTGTGTTATCAAAAAAAAGAGTATGCATTTTTGCACATGCTAGCAAGCCAGATATTGCTGTCTCTGAATAAGCAAACATGTTGTGTTGGTAATCTAGTGTCGTGAATCCATTGGTGGCTTTCGGAATGGAATTCAATTACCTGTTCGAGAGGTTCTAAATTTTCATTCAGGTAGTTGGTTTAAAAAAAAAAAAAAAAAGAAAATTCAATTCTGTAATGACTTTGCCAAAAAATTGCTTCCAAAGCTACGTTTTAATGTTGCATTGATTATTTCACTGGCAATCCACTTGATCCATTTTTAGTAACAACTTTGAGACCAGAAGAGTTGTCCCCAATAAAATTGCATGTGGTTTTTTTTTCTATTCCAAGTAGTACTGTCATATTGCTAAATATGTCATATACCTTAAAATAATCTGAAAATAATTGGTTTTGAACCTCAAAGCATAATCCCTTCTTTCCAAACCCCCTGCAGAAGACCAGAGTGATTTTTCTAGCCGAGGCAAGGACGTACTTTCTCACTGTGTGAGCTGCGTATGGAAATCTGTGTATGAATGTAAAACCACCAGTCATGTATCGCATCTTTCAAAGGGTCAATGGATGGTGAAAGTGGCTGTCAGGACAAGGCATGTGCTGCTGGTTCCTGGTTTGAATCGCCACGGCAGCAGCAGCCCATGGTGGTCACCTCCTCCAGCAGCTGGGATTCATAATGATATTCAAGAACGTGAAAAGGCATGGACTTCAGTGATATTAATCATGTGGTTTAGGTTAGTCACATGCATAATTACCTTGCTAAATTGAAGTACATTGGAATAAGTTTATAAAAATTAATGCAAGACAAGGACAGACTTTGTTAGAAGCATGTGAAAAGCCACAGGTTCCCCTCACTGGATTCCCTTTGATCTCCATGTGCAGAGAAATGGCTTTACTTCTTGTGCTATAAAACATCTGCATTTGCAGAGCAAGGGAAAATTATTTGTTGAAACAGAATAATAAACTAAAAATAATCTTTTAAAAAAATGGAAAATAGCAGAGGTTTGTTTTTATCCGATAATGAAAAGTCATCCAGATGGATTTGACTCATTTACATGTGCTTGTTACAATCATATGTGGTCCTTTCCAGTTCTCCCTGCCCTCCTTTGTCAATCCCATAAGCTGAATGTTGCTTTGACACTTGATTATAACCCCCAGGTAATGAAGGAACATTTCTAGCAGCAAGATCTGTCAGTCTGGCAAGTTTTTTCCTATATATTATTTTTTTTCCCAATCTTTTCCGGTAGCATTCATACAAAATGATGCCCAAAATGTAGGTTCCTTCTCAGCCTGTGTCATACATCTCTGCTAAAACCACAAGCTGTCTTCATGTTCAGCATTGATTGTGTCAGTCTACAGAAACTGGATGAAGCTTCTGTACACAGTGAGTTACAGATATCTGTGCAACCTCTTACATCGAGTAGTCAGCTTAAAAGAAGGTCAGGTAAAAAGTCCCACCTAGTTTAAATATCTGTGCTCAGGATGGTTGTCCAAGGTCAGGTTGGACAGGGCTCTGAGCAGTCTGATCCAGTTGAAGGTGTCCCTGCTCATTGCATGAGGGTTGGACTAGGTGACCTTTAAGGGTCCCTTCCAACCCAAACTGTTCTATGATTCTGTTATTCCCTGTATAGTCACAAGGAGATGCAGATAGTCCCAGGGCACTATTTTTCTTATTCTAAGGTTGACATCTAAAATAAGTCAAATGAATCCAAACCAAGCAGTGTCACCTCTGCTTTGCTCTGGATGAGGTGTATTATGTGTATTATGGTGTATTATGGTACCTTTTTAGTGTAGTTGCTTCTCTATTTGCATGTGGCAAGTTGTGTCAGCACCTTGCTATTGTCCTCGTTGGAGAGGACGTGGTCTCATTGTCTAAGACCATAAGGTCTCCATAAGTGTGTAGGATTTATGAAGGTATATGGAAGTTTAGTGGAAAGTGCTGCTCTTGATCCCTCTAAATTTGGAAGGTCTTGGTCTTAGTGGATCCCTGCGTGATAGCTGATAATTGCTGTGTGAGTTACATGAGTTCTGCCTTCCCTTCCTCTCATGTGGGATAACTTTGCTCAAGTGCGAGGTTTCATTGCTGTACTGTGTAAACAGTGATTTGTTGTCCTTGCTGCTAGTACCAGGTTGGAGAAGTTAGCCCAGCATAGATCTATTCACCTTTCCTTTCAAAGTATGTCCTTAAAATATGTTCAGGTTCAGTAGCATTTCCAGCTGTAACAATGAAATGTTGATAAATTGCTGTGCTGTCTGATTGCTTTCAAATATAAGGGAAGAAGATTTCGGTAAATCAAGCAGTGACTTTCGATTAAATGCAATCTCTTGAATTGCAGTTTTGGTCTCAACTGCTGAGTTTCTCTATGTAGAGGAAAAGATTGATGCTGCTTTGTTGTACCAGATATAAATAACTGAGAGCTCTTTTTGCATGTGAGGAAAAATAGATTTCCTTGAAATTTTGGTTGCAGATCATCTGCTAGACGTCTGGTTGAGTGTAATGTGAATCTTGATCTTGTTCTAAATTGTATCTGAATTGAGATGTAGCATGTGTCTTCCAACTTAATGAAATATCTTTAAATGATGCATATCAAAGTGAGTAGTAATTTGGGTCGAGGCACCTTGGTGGCTGCTTTTCTGAGGACAGGCAGGCAGCTTTCTGAAAAGGAAACTTCCTTAAGCTGGGGACCTGAAAAAATCCTAAGTGCCTTTTTGAATATTTAACCCAAAAAGTACTGATTATCTTAATCTCATGGAGGCTGGAACTAACTTTCAGCTGTCAAATAAAGGTGTTATGCTGCTTCTGGTGAGGTGACTGGCCAAGGGCTGCCATTTCTAATGTACTTTTCAACCTCAGAGTGACTTGCAAGATGTTTACAAAGTCTTATGAAGTAGGTAATGTTATCCTTGTTTGATAAGTGGGAGAAGTAATGCTTAGAGTTATGAAACAAGTGGTAAAAAGTCATGGGGGGAGTTGTGTGGCTATTAGATCATTATTTTCTCCATTAAAAAGTAAATATATGATGGTGAATGGCTTTTTAAAGGTCTGAAAACATCCAGTAGGCTCTAAACAGCTCTGCAGGGAGTAATCCTCACCAAAAAATGAGGAGAGACAATACAGTGCTTAGACATCAGATAGGTCTTAATTTTTCAAAATCAGCTTTTGTGGGTCTACTGTCACGGAGTGTGGGTTGTGTACTGCATTGATTGAATTTGTAGGACTACGTGGCAAAGTGTAACCTAAACTTGGGTGTCCCTCTTGTGTCAGAGTTCCCTCAGACTGGATAGAGGAGAAAGGGAAGAACATCTTTGAGAAAGATCATCTCTCGGGGCTTAGTTGCTGGTTCAGTCACTTGTCTCCTTGATGGGTAAAAACTAACCTTGGCGGCTCTAAATTGGCTGAGAGAGGATTTATTCTGTATAATAACATATTCTCTACCTCTCTTCCTTTGCAATCTTCGTAGTTAGACCTGGTGAGTCAAACGTAGCTTTAAGTTCATTGAAGGTTATATGAACCCTAGCTTCCTCTGGCAAAAGAGCATTGACTTGATTCATCCAGTCTCTTGAATCTTGAACACAGTCTTTGCTTTAGAATATACTTTGATGTTGTTTGGCATGGAGTTATTTGCACGAAATGTACTGGAATGGCTCACGTTGCAACAAAGAACCTTGCCCCCTGAGATGTCTGCCATATTTGTTGCACATTTGGCACCTCACACATGGGTTTTGTGTCTATTTTTGCATTCTTTTCAATGTGAAATAGGTGTGATTATCATATTAAATCCTTCCAAGTCATGGCAAGGTCAGTGGCTGCTCTGGGTATATGTGTATTCCATAAGTTTAGGTAAGATGGTCACCTGTTGAAGTAGCAGCTGCAAAACAAGCGGTGGATGATCTCAAATGACCATCAACACACATTTATACTTACCAAACCGTCATGTCATCTTGACTTTCTGACTGAGAAGAGGACTCTCTTGTGCTGCTCATGGACCTCTTACACAGACACCCTCAATAAATTTGGCAATACATGCAAGATCACCAGGCACGTTCTGCCAGATTCCAGCACCACATTCTTTTCTGTTGCTTGCTGGTTCTTAATCCAGTCCTTCAAGCTCTTCCTTGTAAAATGTGATGTTCTACTCACTGGAAAAAAAATCATCTGGTACCACTGGTATTTCTGGGACCTGAGTCTTCTCTGCTGCCTCGTGCCTCTGTACAGCCTCTGTGTGAAATGCAGCATCTTGGTGTTGTGTGCACCTAGCAGAAGAACAAAAAGCAACTTCTCTGAAGATGTGGAGATTCTGATTTGGTGCATGGAAAAGCTTAAAGCTGGCGTCTCCAATGGTTTAGCAGAAGCCTTCATCCAAAAGACCTGTCAGTGACCGTGACTTCAATCCATACAAGAGTCTCAAGGATCATTCTGGAGGATGGAAAGAGGAAGCTCTCCTCTGGAAAAGCTCTCAGCACTGACCCTGGGAGGCAGTGGTTCCTCAGCCTTCCTTTCTACCCTAAGGGAGAATGGTGACCTCTCCTTTTGCTTGATTCAGTGTCAGTGCTCAGGAAGGGGCCCACGTGAGTACAAATTCCTTTGCCTCTTCAGACCCTATGGATGGAGTCGTGGGGCTAAGAATATACTGCAGCATAGGGCTCTCATTTCTTCAGGGGAAAGACTGGTTTTCATACAACACCATTTTTTTTTCTGTAAGGGGGGAGAAAGTGAAATATTTATTTACTTATTTACTTTATTCTGACCAGAGCTGAAACCTTGATTTTTGCAATGTGCTTCCTTTCTACCGCGGAATCGTTTGTATGCATTTCACTGACAGAGTGTTTGAAAGCCTCGCTTTCCTCCAGGGACTTTACAGCCAAACTGATGCAAACTCTTTCTTCTCAGGTGCCTCACGATCATCTGTCATCCAATGCAAGCCAGGAGGCAACTGCCCCAGCAGACACAGAGGCATGACTAGGCAGCTCTCCCCTCTATCTGTTGCTGAAGATTCTGCTGCTCCCATTCTTGAGCTGCAGAATCGAAGTCCCTCAGGAATCTGTCGGCACAGCAGAGTCGAGAGGCAGAGCAGATCAGGTAGGCATAACAGCCGCATTCCCAGCCTCACAGCATGCCTGCCAAGGGAAGGGCCTCTTTCATCTATCTTTTGAAAGATGGTGCAGAGTCTGAGCATGTTGACGTGAGTTTATGATGCTGGAAAAACAGCAAAGCCACATGAAAGTCCTTCCTGTACCTGTGTGCAAATTTGGGTTAGGTGGGAAGGAAGCAAGGATGGGTCGAAAAAGCCTGGGCTTCAGTAGGAACATGTGATGCATTAGATATCTGAGAAACCATAAGGCACAGAAGATCTTGAAAGGATGATTAACGTTAGCACACAAGTTAATTTTTACAAAGTGGTTGTGTTTCTTCAGCTTCAGCCTGGCCAGAGACCAGGACCCTTAAGAGCCAGCCATGTTCCTTCTCAAAGATAATGACAATCTCAGCTCATACCATGGACGGTCTGATGAAGAGGAAGAGAAGGAGCAACAGAAGGTGGAAGGATATCTAGGGAAGACCATCACAGTTCATCGATCAGCTGCACATCAGGTCTTTCATCAGGAATGAGTCACCTACTTTACTGCAGAAGTTTAGCTCAAATGAACTTGTAGGTATGGTGAACCCTGACTTCTTCACCATGATGTCCATCCATCACCAGCAGGGTTGGGATGGGAGCAATTACAATATGCAGCCACGGGTCTTTTGAGTCTTTGGAATCGTACTGTTGAGGAGGAGAGAAATGATACATGACTGAAATAATATAACTGTCCAAGTTCTTTGGAAGACTATCTTTGTAGATATTGTGAGCAAAAAGGGGAGGAAGAACAGGTTGGATCTCCCTAGCACACTGGAATTGTGGGAGATGAACCTTCCTCTTGTCTCTTCACCACTTATGGCAGCAAGAGTCAGCCATTTTCTTCTTGTGGTGGAAAATGGAGAGATCCCATACTCCAGGAATACTCTCTTGATGAAAACTCTTAGAAAAATATTGGAGGTGATCATTGCTGCAAGGAGAGGATGATACAGCATCTTGCAGTAAAGATCATATCTAAGATATCAGAAAACCAGTCTATTCTCATTTTTGCTGATACCAGGCTGAAATAACTCTATGCATGCTGGCACTAGGGTACACCCAAAATCAGAATCCATCTTCTCTAAGAAAGGACTTCAGGCTACTTGACAAAACAGTAGTGCCTTGACACTATACTCTTCTAAACATTTACTTTGCATTTATTATTTTCCCTTTTTATCCTGATCTTCCCTTCCTCATTGGTGAGGTCTCAGTAGGACTGACCCGACAGGTAGGTAAACAAATATAAAGAATATTATTTTCTAGGACATAGTTGCCAAATAATCAAAAGAGTTCAGAAGAAAAGCTGTAGGTTTTAGTTTTCCTCATCTCGTTTTTCTGAGAAACGAATGCAAAAGGCTTTTCTGTTACCATCTTGTCACAGAGACATCACAAGCAAGAATTACATTCTAGACAAAAGGACCGTGCAGGGGTTTTTCTGCTAGCTGCTTTTCAACACAGTTTGCCATTGACCAGTGTCATTTCCATATGTCATCTGCAGCAGCATCTACATTCTTTCCTTGTCATTTCATCCTTGTTGAGTCTTCAGGTTGTTTCTGTGCTCTTGACAGGGCAAGTCAGTTGGTTTATTTCAGACTGAACTATTTCAGACACCAAGGAGTTCTTCCACTTTGCTAATTGTAAAACGCTATCTACCAGCCACTTCAGCTAGTGAATTTGTTTTCTCCTCATTAACATATCATTTGGTATCTGAACAAAAGTGCTGCTTTCTAGCTTACTCCAGCCCCAGCTTCATGACTTGGAAATCCTTAAACCTGTTTAGTAGGAATTATGTGCCTGCTCACCAGGCATCTTTGAGTTCCAGCCCTGTAATTAGTTTTAAAGATATTTCTTCTCTTGTCCTTTTGATTCTTTGGCCAAGATTTATGTGTGTACATCTCATGGATTTTGAAAGCAACTTTCAGGCTATTATGTCACTTTGTCCAGGGATCTGTCTCAATTTCACTTAAATTAAATGTAAATATCTAGTCTAGGGAGAAATAAGTGCCTCCAGTGGGATTAGATATATGAGGATGAAGTCAGCTACCTTCTCACCATGCCTGTCCATATCTTTAAATATAAAGGGGACCTAGACAACATGTTTAGTCTGAATACACAAGTATTTGCTAATTACACTACGTGGGATGAATCCTGCCCATTAAGCACTTATGAAAACTCCCCCCCTGTCTATTTAATCAGGCTAAAACTTCTGTAGGTCTTTTAATCCAAAGTAGAACTTTCAACAATGCACATTCCTGTGCCTCTCCTTAACATTCAAACCTGGGACTGTAAAATCCAAGTCGAATGCTAATGGCAGTGTCATGCCTAGTCAGAGCAATTACATAGTTATTAGGTAATTGAAAAAATAGAAAGCATGGATAAAAGTGCTTTCATCTTCTGTCATTGTGTGATTATTTAACTGTTAGCTGAAGAAGGACTAATTGCATGATGGTTTTGCTTAGCAGGAAAACCTGCAAGTGGATGTTACATAATACATTCTTTTTAAGCCATTCTAACTTGCAAATAAACTGTAATTTACCTTTTAATAGAAAGTGTCAGTCATTATTAGTACCATAAAAATCCCTATTTTCTCACAGCAGCCAAAGAGAATGATAAAATGATGCTTACCTTTTCAGAGCTGTGTCTGATTATACTCCGCATGTTTTTAATAAACCTGTAATTTTATTTAAATTCTTGATTCACCACTAAACAATGGAGCCACTGAATACTGATTATTTTGGGGAATAAAATGCAGCATACAATTACAATTACAAAAAGCTCCATGTCCTGGTTAGGAAAATTCATGATTGCAAATGTGCTCCCTGCTATGATGAATCGTTTTTTAGATGTAATGTTGGTCTAATGTAATAACTTTGGAATCTCAGTCTGATAGTTCTTCATGGCTGTAGCAGAAACAGTAATATAAAAGTAAACCTGAGTCTGAAAGGGTGCCTTTTTCACATTTAAATTGAAAGTAGGACAGCATATGCTCTCACTGCAGTGGATCTATAGCATCAACAATTATATTGTTTCTTATATATATCACATCATGTGTTGATATCACTGACAGTTGAAATAAATAGTTAAGAATAGCTGCAGGTCAAGATTTTTAGAAGGAACTCCTCTTTTTTTCTATCAAACCGATGTGATATGGTCTAATGGGGTTAATGGTTGGAGCTCAATGCTGCCACGTGAGCTCATGGGGCAAAAGTGTTCGTGCTCCTCGGTATCCAGCACAGTTCAATCTGTTGTTTTCACCTGGGATCTGTGAAATCAAAATAGGATTCATGGGTTGCATCTCTGGGAGTTGTGTCTGGAGAGCAGGTCACGAGTCAGTAAGATTAAATTCTCTACACTTCTGTTAGGAAATCTGCAGTGGTCTGCAGATTAGATCTGAAAAGTACTGTACTAAAATGAGAAATTGCAACTTCCCAATTCCTCCTTGTTTATGTGTAGGGGTTTATTTCTACACATGCTAAGCTTCAGTTTTGTCCAGTCTCCTTTTTTAACTTCAAAAACGTAAATACAATAACTTGGCTGAAAAAAGCCTTTCTTCACTTCACCACCAAACTGTTTCTTTTTCCCCTCCCAGCTTGCAAACAAAAAAATGTGATTCTTGAGTTAAAATCTTGAATAGTCAGAACTTGTTCCTGGCTTCAGATGTACAGGCTCAGATAACTTTTATGTTGCACACATGCACAGTAATTGACTTTATAATGTAGTTGGTTCCAGGGGATGTAGCTCTATTCTGGAGGTTTGGCTGACAGAAGGAAAGCAGGGCTGACAAAGCAAACACTGGCAACAGCTTAACCATAATGCTGTTACCTCAGGCCTCTGCATCGTGTTTGTGTTTTGTTCCTATCCCCTTTGAAATGTCAGAGACGATATTACTGAAGTATTTCTGTGAGGGATTTCAGTGTTTGTGGGGCATAGAGGAATTACAGGGAGAAGGCAAGAGTAGTTTTGAATGTGTTCATTATGTGTACAACTCTTTTTCTATTTTGTTTTTTCTTTTTCTCCAGGAGAAGAAGGAACACAAACACACACAGAGAGCAGCAGCCAAGAAGCTGAAGGACAGACACGATGTCAGTCTTGCACATCCACATTTCTCAAGCTTATCTGGAGATTTCTGATCATTTTGTCCGTCTCTTCCTCCTGGGTCGGGACCACGCAGTTTGTCAAAATCACGTATGAGACCTTTGACTGTCCTTTTTTCATGACTTGGTTCTCAACAAATTGGAACATTATGGTTTTTCCCATTTATTATTCTGGGCATCTTGCAACTGCACAGGAAAAACAGTCTCCAATCAAAAAATTCAGGTAGGCTTTATCGTGGCAATATCCCTTTAAACAAGCTGATTTGAGTGGACTAAGATCACTGCTCTTCTCAGTTTGACCTGCGGAGTCAGGAGGCAGAATAAAGGTCACGCTGCAGAAAATCTCATTCATAAATAGCTTGCAGAAGGCTGAGTGATATGTGCTTGAATAAATGGATAACTGATTGTTAGAGGGGATTTTACTGAGTTTAGAAGGTCAGTAATTTGCTTGTTATCTACTATCTCTGTATTTGTTTTCCTGTCTGGATCAGGCCATTAGTTTATCTGTTGCAGTAGTAGAACGGTAGTATAAAGTGCGACTAAAACAACTCAGTAGTTGAGAAGAAAGATGCTCAAAGCTGAGGTGATGGTTTCCATGTGGAAGACCATGGCTTGCTCTCTATGCTGAGCAACAATAGCAGGGTGAAAACTGCCCTGTCCTCCTTCTGCTGGATCATAGCATGGAGGAAGAGCATCCCAATAGTCTTCTCTGCTCTCTTTTGCGTGGGGGAAGAATTAAAGCAGGTTGCAGACTCTTAAGTTTTCCTTCCTGTGTAGTTCTGAGCGGTAAATTGGCATAGCTGAGGGTCTGTCACCCTAAGGAAAGCTTGTGAAGGCTTTGTCCCATCTTCCATCAGGCTGCACTTGGAAATCCCTCTTCCTCTGTGTTGTGAGAGCCAGGGGAAGACATCCTCCTGACTCCAACCTTTCCTTACGCCACATGGCTGCATGTTGTAATTGACTCTCGGCCTCAAGTGCAAAGGAGTCCATAGTACTAACTATAAGATTAGCCTGCAGGGGTGGAAATTTATAAATCTGTCTTCAGTAGCCACTGTGAAATCATAGAAATACAAGGTTAGAGGGGAACCCAGAGGGATCATCCTGTCCAACCAACTGCAGCAGGACCAAGCTGGCTTAGCTTCACCCTAGATGGTTCTTGAAAAAGCCATATTTAACCTTTCCTCAGGGCTTGGAAGTCCCACCATGTTCTGGGACAATTAATTTCACAGTTCCTCCTCTTCCGTTATTCTACCGATCTGACAGTGACATAGAAGCAGCTTTAAAGGACGAAACTAAATTCAGCATGCCAAGAGCTAACACATCTTGCCCATGGAAGGAAGAAATACACAGGATAATTTTGAGCTGGGACCCAATTCTGTGCAGATTTGCTTTGAAAACAATCTTCCTGACTTCAGCAGCATTGTCTGTTCTGCAAGGTACTAACCAGAGCGTGGCCTGTACCTCGGCACAGCTGTCATCGGGCACACAGGGAATTCAATTTGTGACTGTCAGGCTGGAGTGTAGCAGGGCCAAATTCTTCCCTCAGCTGCTTTTGCCAGGATCTGGGATGTAATTTGGCCCTAAATTCTCATTTCTGTCAAATCTGCGTGACTGAAATTGAACAGTTGGACTTAATTAACTGCTTCTCTGAAAACCCTGGTGCTTTGTACGTTAATGATGCCTTCATTCAGATTCTTGCTGGAGTATTTGTGATAACATTAACAGTGTCAGCTTGGCTTCTGGGTATGGGGTAAAGTAATAACAAATGCACAGCAGATAAAGAAAAGGATGAGAATAAATATCCATGCAGATAGGTCCCCTGCAGTTAGTTGGTTGAATATATATCCATCAAAGCAAAATTTTGTGCAAAACATTTGTGGCAGTGCATAATATATGTATACTTAAATAATTGATACATTTCTCAAGCTGTTAGGAGTTCAGCTTTTAAAGTTGAGGACACATGCTTACATGCCCAGAGGAGTTTCTCCACACACAGAGATGTAAAGTAGGTTTGTGAATGTGTGGAAACAGGACACCAGTGTTAGAGCTGATGGGCATCTTCCCAGAGTATTTTCTATTCCAGATATGTCTGGAACTCACATCCCAGGGAGGAGGTAACTGCCAGCAAATTCTGTCTTTATCATGGGGACCAACTACTTGGTCTGTGCCATGTTATGACTTGGCAAGCCAAAGCCTTTCAGTTTGGGTGTGGGAATGGACGTGCACTTGATTTTCTGATGACTTAAAGAATTGAAAAGCATCATTTGTGGTTTTTAAATTCAGAGAGTTATAGATAGATTTTGTTTGGAAAGGATCTTTGGAGGTCATTTAACCCAGCCTCCTACTCAGAACGAGGTTACTTTCAAAGCTAGATTAATAGTTTGTATAATTGTTTGGTTTGTGTTCTTGCCACTGTTCCTGTTCCAGGGCTTTTTATTACATTTTGTAAGATTTCTTTTTGCTTCATTTACTGGTTTTAGTTCTGTGGATTAGCTAATTCTTGTCAATAAAGCCCATCCTGTAGTGATTCCAGGCTTACCTCAGAGTCCAGAGGTGATTTGTCTTTGTGTTTCTGGAGGATGTAGTTAAAGATGTGTGACATTTTATCCAGCAGACTAGCAGAGTGCTGCCCCAGGCTGGCAAAGCTGTATGGAGCCACTGTTACTTTAATAAATCCCACTTGGAAGGATAGGAATCTCAGTCTTCAACTTTAGATTGGCTTTCTGAAAGTTTTATAATCTTTGAGATTGTAAATTGTGTATTTCTTAGCTTTCATGCTTCACTTTAGAGATTAAATTTTGTGGTCTTTAGAAAGTAACTCAAGGTTATTACCTCCCTGCTGCATTTCAGTAAAGTATCTTGGTTGTCTTGAGGCAGAAGACACACCTCTTGGTATCCCCTCAATATTGTAGTGTCCTGGTTTTTGACAAGGTGTGTCCCGCATAAAGGGCTTGAAACTCCTTGCATTAGTGGTGAATAAAGTGATCTGAAGCTCAGTAAGCTTAGCAATAGGAAATCTAACTCTGCTGTATTTACCACAGCAGAAGACACTCCACAGACTCGACATAGGATCCTAGAAGTGGAATAAGTGGATAATATTTTCAATGTCAATAAATTCTGCCTCCCCATGCATTGCCTTGTCTTCTCAAGGACAACACTGCGACGTTCAGTAGTTTTCTGCCAGACTTTATCCACGATGTAATAGCTGAAGTTGGTCCTACAGGCGCTGTGCAGCCTTGAGGCACTGGCTAGGAAAAATGTAGGTAAGTTCAGGTTTAATGAAAGATGAACATGTTGGGAAGAGTTGGTTTGCTAGCAAGAAGGATAACAAGATGTGAGCATCGCTTGAATTAAAAACAGAGTCATAAGTAGCTGATACTTGCTGTCATCTGTCATCTGCGAGTTTGTCACCTATGAATCTCTCCATCTATGTTGCAGCAGTAGCTCAGCCCAGCTTCCCCAGCCACTTCTGGAATAGACCTTCACAAGGGTCTTTTCAGAGGAGAAATTAGGATCTCTGTTGCCTGTAGCTGCGAGACCCCAGATGGCTCAATGGTAGGGAGGGAGACGAGTAGGACAAAACAGGGCTTTCCTTGGGCCATGCCTTGCTGGAGGACAGCATTCCCATGGTGCTGCCCCCCGAGCCAGTCACTGCTTATGTGGGATGTTCACACACAATTCCCTTTCCTTTTGCTCCAGCGCTTGAGCAGACAAATGCAGCTGGTCAGGCTCTTTCTTAATGTTCAGATGAAGAGCAAAACAAGAACTCAATCAGTCTCAGAAAACAATTTGCCATTTGCTTAATCACCATTACTCTATTTGGTGTCCATCTCCTGAAATGGAGCTGGAACATATTTTATTGCAGCAGATGCCATAATTTAGCTAGAAGGACCAAATGACACAGTAACAACTTGCACTCACAAAAGGTCCCACGGTGCTTCTTACTACCATAATGTCACTGGTGGCCTTGCCAAGTTTTAATCTGGGTGATGTAATTACATTCGCCGTATTCACGTTACCCCAGGTAGCATCTGTTAGCTCTGGTTTTTTTTCTGTAAGCTGTTTTTAAAACCAGCTGCTGCATTCCACTCCAGAGGCTGCTGTATGTCAGGGGTGAATAAACCCATTCTTCTGCAGGGGCTGGCATCAGAATAACTAAGAGGTGGGGCAAGATATTTAGTGGGTGCCAGAGGCAAAGCTACATGACTGCCTGAGGTGCTGTAATTCCTGAGAGCATGGCACGCTGCCCAGAGCTGATGGCTGAGGGCTACCTGCAAATAAAAAGAGCTATTTATGTTAGAGGGCAGGTTTTAAATAGACTTCTTGTGCATTTGGAAATAGTTTTTGTCATAGTTTCAGGGTCAGCTGCCCTTAGATATGTCTCTGCCTTTAAGTCAACAGCCTACAGATATTATCTGTATGGGGAGGAATCCATGGAGTGTCTCTCCTGAGCCCAGAGTTTTAATCACTGTCATGTCATGATGACTCCTGCAAGTTTAATTTTAGTTACATGCCAAAGAGGCTGAGTTAACCACTGAGCAACCAGCCCTCACAAAGCCCGAGGCAATCTACTGTAGCCATGACTGGGAAAATAAAGTATTCTTCCTAGCTCCTCACCCGCTGAGCATTATTCATGGAGTCCTCCTAGGCACAGAGGTGAATTCATCAGGTCTCTGTCTCGCTCAGCAGAACCCTGTCAAAAGTCTTTGCTGTTTATTTTTAATTAAGAGGTGAGGAACTGCTAACCCCTGTTTTGTCTGGTCACTGTATGCTGCTGTGTGTGATGGGGGCTCTTCCATCTGCTTAAACAGTCCATTGCCCGGGGCCTGTGAAGTGTTTCCAGATTTCTTTTCCAAGCTGTGAATCTGTGCTTCTCCCTCCCACTGCTTCTGGGAACTCAGAGATAAGTGACATTTGCAGCATTGCCACAACTGCCCCTCCCAAATAGTTGACCATCCCACAGAGTCCAACCCAGAATAATATAATAATCACTGAGGCTTCCTCCTTCTGAGTACTCACAGTCAGGGAACTTCAGACTCCATCGTCCTGGCTCTCCTTTGAGTTTGTCTATGTTACAGACATCCCACAGATCTGCAGGACAACAAAACCTGACCCATGTTGGCGTGCCCCCACCTTTTTGGCTTGGCTGGAGGAACAGAAGCACCAGGCTTATTCCCAGCATCTCCCTGGCAGTGGGGGGCCACAATAGATGACAGGGGTATAATTT